TCTCAGCACTGTGTTGGTAACCCTTGCCAATTCACACTTTCTTTATTTTTGTTTTCTCACTGTTCCTTGTTTAGTTACATCAAGTATAAGTTTGTATTTTCTACCTTGCTGCTCTGTTTTTTCCTATAATAAGATTCTTTTTTATTTACCAGTAGTTGTTCCCTATGGTTGATATTTTGATGCCGTGCAATGCATTATTCCTGTCTGGCACCGGTTTCCTTTTTGTGGCTTCAGTAATTTTTCCTGCATGTTGTGCTTGCAATGCATTTCTGATTCACTTACAAGTTTACATTTCTGTTTTTGCTGTTTTTCTAACTTTTCCTCCTTTCCCTGCTTTACAGTTTGACGTAGATGACACTGGTTCTATTGTCTTGTATGCTGGGGGCTTTGTAGTGGCTCTGTGGTTAACGTCAGCTGTTATTGGTGCTATTGATTCTATCCCATTGGTGTGTAACAAACTTCAACTATTCCAAACCTAAAAACCAATTTTCTAAATGCTTACATTTTTTGTTTCATACTCGTGTTACAGTTTCCCAAGCTGTTGGAAGCTGTAGGACTTGGATATACAGTATGGTTCACTTCTCGATATCTGCTTTTCAAGGTACTTACCTAATTTCAGCTTTGTTGCCTGATATTTTAATATTTGTTTCTAATTGGATTTTATTAACCTGCAGAAAAATAGAGATGAGCTGAATGCCAAAATAGCGGAGCTCAAAGAACAAGTTCTTGGTTCAGAAGATAATTAATTCTTCTGAAAACATGAAATTAGATTTGTGTTTTGCTTAAACTGTGAGGGAACGAATTTTCCATCAGCCCATACAGCTTACATGCAACAAAGGCAATTGCTGTGTTTTTAGTTTCGAAGTAAAACAATCTGATTCACCAGTCAGCACCCACATTTTTGGTATCTTGGTATGCTTATATAACATTGTTCTTTGGTGCATTCCACTCTTTCTGTTTTCTCACTAGTTGAAGATTCTTCAATAGAGTGTGTATTTTTGTTACTTTTTTTAAGTTATGTGTCGCAAATATACAGTAAAAAGAAGATATATTAAACAGTGTACTGTTACTGGAAGATTCTATTTACATGAGATGGTCACCAAGATGTTTAGGAAGAGAATAGAAATGAGTTTGACAAACTTGTAGTTGCTTTCAGCCGGTTGTTAATTCAGTTTACTCTTCCCTGTTTCCCTTTACAATTAAGTGAGAATTATCTGAAGTTTTGAACCATTGCATTACTTTTTTCCCTGACATTAACTTGTTCAAATTGATCCTAACTAAAATTCATGCTTTTCATTCTTATTCATGTTTTATTTATATATTTTTTCCATGAGTAAATAACTAGCCTGAAACCAAAAATAGAGGAACAAAATTGAACTCATTTAATTTTATGGGACCTATATTTTGCTAGTAAACAATGATAACCATGTCTTATCATCCTACTGGAAAGACTGGACGTAATTCTTCTACAATAAGTCTTCAAGACTTTGTCCGAAGTCCTCCATAGGTTGAACATAGTCTTCATAATCATAATATCCTAAGTCATCTGAACTATTTGTATCCTTGTCAGTCTCAACAATTTCATCAACATGTTCTTTTTTGGGACCATGTCCACGCATTTCAAGTATGAAATCGGAAAAAGAACGAATATTAACAAGCAAATAACACAAGAATGCAGCAAGAGGAGCTAATTTGAAGTTCATCTTCATAACAGTTACTAAGAAACAACCAATGAAGAAGTTGAAGATACCAACTTCAAAGCCAAGTTGGAGTAGTCTTGACAAACTCAAAGCCATGAATGCAAATGCAGCAGTTGAAGTAAGGTTCATCACTCTTCCAAACCCTTTTTCATCCTTCCCTCCTTCACTTCTGTCTTCCCAATATGAGTACAGAGAAGTTAGTGTCACCACCAGAAATCCAACGTGTGCTTTTAATAAGAAACTCTTGAGAATTTCCCACCTGCATGTTTTCACTAACAGCATCAATATGGATATAATGGAACTTACAACACTGTAGATAACCATCTTCAATGGGTTCCTATTTCCAAACAAATCATTGAAGGAGGGACTCAGAGCATAACATGTGAATCCAACTATACTTGACATAAACCCCACCAATCTCCATAGCATATGGTGGGTTATGAACTTCGTTATAGTGATTGCCATTATTCAGTTTTGGATGGCTTCAATATTAAAATTTGATTGTAATGTAAGAATACTAGTATTCAAGTTTCAAATAATTAGAAAGAAGAGAAGAGTAAGATAGATTTGTGATATTGGATTTGTGTAGAAAAAATAAGAAATATAAAGAAGAGAGTGGAGACACCTTCACCGAAAGACATTCTCCTTGTGGGACTGGACTATAAACAGTGCAATTTCGAAATGGAAAGTGTCTGGAAGATGTCTTTTTGACTGAAAAATAAAAGTGCACTGACTTGGGTGAGTCCATTGAGGAACTTGCCTTGTATGAGAAGCAATTAATAGGTTTTCTAAAGTTGGTGAAATTTCGTAATCATAGAAATTTGGAGAGAAAGTAGAAGTTCAACCAATCATTGAAAATGAATGATGATATGAAGTTTCTGTAAAGTGGTTTATACACAGTTCAACTTAACATTGTTACTAACTAAACTCAAGTGGCCGCTAAGCTGTCATGAGCTAACTTGGCAGTTAAGCTATTGACATTCTTTTACAAAGTTTACTCATACTTATCTCAACTGTCATATATTTATACAATTTTTTCATTTATTATACGAATTGCATACCAGATGTAAAAACTAACAAACTGTGTACCTAAATCATGAATCCGTAGCGTGTATCATATACTTACAGAATTCACCGTATATATATTGGTTTCATCATAATAAATATTTTATAAAATTAATGTAAAAAGTAAGAAACTTCTTTATCCAAGTAAACCTCGTGATGCAGTTGTACCTAAATCATGAAACCTTGTTATGCAGTTGTACCCATAGGTAATAAACCCATAACCAATGCCTATAAACTAGTATCGAAGTTTTTTCATTGTCCATATTGTTGATGTCAAAAGCTTTATTATTATTTTTCATGCTCCCTTTTTGTTAATTTTATGCAGAGGAACAGCATGCTGGAGTTTAACATTTTCAGAAGGCGTAGCAAAACGTGAACAGGGGCATGTCCAATTATCACAAAGAATAAACCCTGCAATCAACGTTGCAGGGAATGGAATTATGCACTTTCTGGTGTCTGTGACTTTCAGTGGCCTGGTTTTGCTTGTTACTGCTATTTCAACGGTTGACAAGTGATGAAAGAAATTATGGTCAAACAAGATATAATCTATTGTTGTTAGTGCTACCAATGCTACTCTGTAATGGGATTGATTCAAATTCGTAATACAAATATTGCTTTAGATCTTTTTACTTTTATGAGTTGACTAATATATTGTAATTAATATTGTGACATATTAAAAATGTAATAAATAAAAAGGAAGAGAAATATAAAGATAGAGTGAAACTTAGTTTTGGTACTTGAAATATTTGATATTTACCAACTTAATCCTGAATAGATTTTTGCCACTAACTTTGTCATTGATGACATCAAATTGGTACCATGTATATCCCGGACTCTAACATGAGATGCATGTGGAACATTACCAGGAATGCATCTCTCATGGATGAACATGGTGCTCATGTGATGTCATGAGGATCGAGTTAGTGGCAAGTCTTTAAACTAAGTGGCCATCCAATAGTTTTAGGAAAATATAGGTAAGATTTGTTTTCATTAAGAAAATCATAGTGTGTAAATATTGTTTGTCAAGCAAGTTCTCATGTGTCGCGACCCGATTTTCGGTTGGAAGACCGGCCCTACGACTTGGGGAGAGGCGAACTCGATTTCTACCTCTTCCAATTGTTTTGGAGTCGCCACTACGTTTTTTGCGGTTAAAACGTAGAAAACTCAAAATATGCCCAATTAGGATAATTTGGTCTTTAATCAAAGATTCTGAGCTTGGGAGTTGATTACAGATCGGGGAAGGTATTAGCACCCCCGTCCGCCTGTATTAAAACGGTACCCTCGCTAATAACATGAACTTTTATATACTTAAAATTATTTATTAAAATTCAGTAATAAAAAGCAAAATGTTTTATTTTTTATTGTTGTGTCTGACAAAAGCTCGTCTTGCTCCTACGTATCCCTAGGTGCAATAGGGAAATCAAGACTACGTAGTTCTGGTTTGAAAATCAATTAAATTGGTTTGGGTAGTTGAAGTTGTTAAGTCGTATAATATGATTTTTCCAAAATACTTTTGATAAGGAATTAATAGTTTAGAGTCGGTATTGGTCGCTCACCTTATTCTCATTTTTAGAGAAGTAAGAATAACTCAAACCGTAACCTTACTATAAAAATTCCATTGAAATTCGTCTAAGTAGTAAGGTAAATTTTATTTAAAACATTTTGGCATGAAATTAATAGTTTAGAGTCGGTATTGGTCGTTCACCTTCTTCCCATTTTCAGAGAAGTTAGAATCAACTCGAACCATAACCTTACTATGAAAATTCCAATAAAATTCGTTTAAGCAATAAGGTAATTTTTATTTAAATCATTTTAGCATGGAATTAATAGTTTAGAATCGGTATTGGTCACTCACCTTCTTCCCATTTTCAGAAAAGTCAGAGTCAAATCGAACCATAACCTTACTATAAAAATTCCATTAAAATTCGTTTAAGTAATAAGGTAATTTTTACTTGAATCATTTTAGCATGAAATTAATAGTTTAAAGTCGGTATTAGTCGCTCACCTTCTTCCCATTTTCAAAGAAATCAGAGTCAAATCGAACTGTAACCTTACTATAAAAATTTCATTGAACTTCATTGAATAATAAAATATATTTAAAATATTTTTTTAAAAATATATAAAACCATACGACATTAAAATTGGGTAAACATGGAGTGGTATAACAAAACAAATAATTATCAAAACAACACCACATTAAAAATAAACACAAATAGGGTATTAGGTTAGGTAAACGGCATGGGGTAAGATGGTAAAAACACCTGGATGGGGTTAATTGAGGAGGGGTCATAGTTACCCTCTTTATTTCCTGCAAAAGAGAAATTGGAAGAAGGATTAAATCCCTAAAATCCCGTTTTCCTCTTCTTCTCTGGCGGCGACGGAAGCACGGAACTGGTCATCTCCGGTGACGATCGGCTGAGACGTCTCGACGATGGCGAGGCTTTGAACGCCGTCCCTTTTTGAATCTCCTCTCAGCTGTTGATTCTCCTTCTCTAGCGGCGAGTTCTCATCCTCCATTGGCGGCCCCGAAGCGGTTGATGGCGATATGCGAGTGGTGTATGTATGGGAGTTCATGGTTCTCCTCCTCCCATTGGTTTGAGTCATTACAGCTATGATTCACAGTGGCACTTTGCGGTGGTGAAAGGAAAGCTATGGGTGGCCGAAACCACTCCAACCGAGGGGCCTTGGTAATGATGCGACATTGAGGCCGCAACACAACACCAATGGAAGCAGGGAGCTTCGGTAATGAGACCTATTCCCTTTCAATTCGAATTTAACTTATATTTGGCAATGTAACTGAATTGAATTGATTGTATGCTTATGATATAGGAGTATGTGTGGGTATTCCTCTTTTTCTGACTACTTGTGATAGACTCTGTTCTAGAAAAATAGAGCATTGACTTGCTAATGTCTTGGTTGATTAGGATTTCAGTCAGAAGGTGAAGATGGAAGGCATTGTGTACTGTTTTCTGGCCTTTTGTTTGAATTGTAGTAGGGAGGATTTACTTTTATGAGACTTATTTATGCTTGATGCTTTTGGGTTTCCTTTGTATATGTATCCTGGTGGCATATGTGTAGTTCTCTCTGGTTGATATTTGTGTGTTGTGCTTTCCTCCTCTGATTTTGACTACCTTCTGTTTTAGTATGTATGTGTGATACCAAGGTAGATGGCTCTCTGTATATTGCCTCTTTTTCTGAATTCTCTTATGTGGTATGCGTGTGTAGTCTCTGAGTGTTGTGATATGTACCTGTAATCTGTTCATATGGGTTCTGAATGGGTGTCACATGTTGGAATTTCTGGGGTGTAATAGGGTAAAGAGAGGATGACAGTTATAGTGGGATAGAGAAAATTGGATTATAAAGGTATTGTAGTGCTGGAATTTTTGAGAGGAGAATTCCATCTATCTTCTCTGAGTACCTTCTCTTTTTTTTTTGTATGTGTTGCTTTCTATCCCCCTTTTGTATGTGACAGATGACCTTTTTGTATTCTCCTATTTTTTCTGATTTGGTGCATTAAGGCTGCACATGAATGCTGCACCTCATGATGATTATGGCTTTGTAACTGAAAAAGATTCATGATTTTGCATCTTCTGAATTCTTCTTATGGTTACTTTCTTTTTTCCTCATTGTTTCTTTAATGCTTCAACTTGTAACTATCTGAAAATATATATGCATTGTGCCTTGTAACATGAACATTGATTTGCACCTCCTGGTATTCTCTCTGTTGGCAACTTACGGCTAACTCTTCATTCAACAATGATTGATTATTAATTCCTCTTTTATTGTCTCTCCTTTGGAGTTTCTTCAGTTGTGTTTTTTGGTTGATTTCTCTATGAATATCATTTCACAACTGTCCCAATGTGTAATTGTATACATGAAATCTGATAATGGGTTCTTCTTTGCAGGGGTTGCCCTTGGAGACATCACTATTACCCCTGGAGATATTGGGGTCATTAACTAGTCCCCTTTGCCACGTTACATTTCTCTAACAGTGGTCCCATGAACTCAACTGTTATTGGATCTCTCTTGGTCAACTTCAATGTTTACATCATTACTGCCTTAGCACACCTGGCCACAATGGAAAAACCTTTTTCTTTAACTTTTGTGACCCTGGGAATATGGTCATCTTTTTTGTAATTGCCATAACAAAAAGTTCAGCTAGCTTGGGTTGTTTTACTATTGGGAGCAATAAGGCACTAATTCCCGATATGATGCACGATTGTATGACCACTTTGTTGTGATTAATTACCATATGATTATGCAAGTTACCAACGAGATAATATAATCACAAAGTTCATAATAAAATTACTCCAAAGGTACCACTTCTTCCCACCTTATGCTTTTTATTTTTTTCTTTTGATTGATCTTTTTCATTTTGTTGAAACTGAAAGTTTTTTATAAGTTAAAAAAAACAAAACCTTTAACGTACGTTTTTAACTATAATTTAGAGTCAATAACTCAAGAGCTATAAAATTGGTTCCATAACATTTTGAAAATATGCAATTTTTCAATTATTGTTCTTGTTTTGAAATTTAAGTATTTTTTATACAGATCGGACAAAATTAGGTCACATCATGAGATATAAAAGTATCTCGAATACTTGCCTCTTCATTGACACCTTCTGTCAAGTTATACAATCTTTTATCTGATATATCAAGTTTTAACTTTCAAGCCAATGATAAAACTATTCACTTAAGATAAAGCAATAGAAATTAAAGCAATAGAAATTAAATCATTTTCTCTTCTATGGTGTGGAAGTACTTGGTAGAAGTGTAAATAATTTCAATTTAGTATCTACTTGGTTGGTAGAAATGAACCAAATTTTCTGACTATATTCCCTTCTAAACAAGTTTTTTCCTCTAATATATGAAATACTTATGAAGAGCACAAACAGAAGAATGCGTGTTTACCTCATATTTGGCTTAGAAAATGGTAAGTGTAACTATGAATAAAATATGTTCAGTATTTGTGTTTTCAGTCCTCTGAAGTTGATAGATGAAAGTAATTGTGATTTGTGTCTTATCCTGCTTCCATCTTTCTCTGTGAAACATCAGCATTACTCTTAGTTTCTGCTCCATCTTCATTTCACCCACCTTGCCAAACTTAGCTTTAATCTTAGTTTAGTTCTCCACTGCAGAGTTCATAGTACAAAACTAATTTTATAGTTCAACATAGCTACTACTAGTACCAGTTTTATTTGTCTTCAATCAGTCCAAGGACTTCAGTGTTTGCTACCAAATTTTTCCTATAGAGTATTATGGAGTTGTTCCGTTGATGGAGCCAACCCATCTTAGTGAGATGAATGTTTGGTTGTAATTGTTATTTTTCTATCTTTGATTATGTTTAGTGCTTCAATATTGATTTCCTTGCAGTTTTATAGACCTTGAAAATCTTTGCATATTCATTATTGATTATGGCTGGTACTTCTTTGTGTCCTTTACATGAACAAGGATCACTTGTGCCAAACTATGTCTCAAGCCAATCACATTTCAGCAAGTCGAATAAACATGTAATTTTTTATTTTCTTTTTATTTATGTGTCAATTTCTAATTGGCTGGGACATGGAATTGGGACAGGGTTGGAGACAGAAGATCTTCACTGCCCATACAGGAGGAACAAGGATCACCTGTCCCCAACCCTATCCCAAACCCTGTCCCAAGCAAATCATATTTTAGCAACTAAGATAAATATATTATTTTTTATTTATTTATTTATATGATAATTTCTAATTGGCTTGGGACATGGTTGGAGACACGCTTAGGGACAGAAGATCTTCATTCATACAGGAGTGCCTAGTGCAGAACACATAGTCAAATGTAACTTTCAAACTACTTTTTATTTGAATGAAGATCTACTATCCACATTTGGTGTCTCAATAGTGTCCCGGACCAATAGAAAAATGTCATTTAGTTGGATTAAAAAAATTATAAATATAAAATAATATTATATTATTTGGTGCAATTTTATTGGATAGAGCCAGAGAGATGTGATATATTTGGGACAAAAGATCCTATTCATTTTATTTGAGTAACCTAAAGTTATCTAAGTGGAATATCCTAATGCAATAATACTTCCTTTTTAATCTTTTGGTTTTGAGTGGAATTTTCATTAGCCAATGAACACGAATCACTAACCCACCTTGTAAGTTGTAAGGACCAAATTACCTGTATCTTTTTATGTGAATGAATATATTCATATATTGCATGTGGAGGAATATATTCTGGATGATTGAGTCACTTGAGTAGTTGAGTGTACTCCCTAGCTTTTTTCTCAATTGGCAGAGTTTTTTATAAGCAAAGAAGTATATTAAAGGAGCACAATTGGCAGACTAAATTGGAAGTATTTGCAGCCCTAGCTCCAATTATGATGTTGATGTGTAGTCAATTATTGGAACTATATCTTATTGTGATTTATTGCCTTTAACTTATAGTAGTTTGCAGCACTAGTACAAACCCCCATCCAAAATTTGATAAAATGATAGTGGTGTGAAATCATCTTTGATATTCCATGAATCAAGGTAATTGCCAACCATCCTTTTATACCTTTCTCACATTTCTATGCATAAAACTTAAAAACTAATTCTATAACTAGTGTTTTGAATTCAATCTAAATATTCAATAGATATATGTATACTTATACATCTATTTCGATGGATATCGAATCCATTCAAAAACAGTATTTCAAAATGGACTTGATATTCATTTATTAATGGATTGAAATTCACCTGTTGTTATGGATGAATTGAATAATTTTAAATACCATATGATTTACTAGATGTTAAATGAATATTCACTTTGTATCATTTGACTGTAGCTAATCCTATACACTAATTCCAAGTGGGTTGAGATGTGAAGCTGGTGAAGGCACATTTATGAGCCCTAACAGAGAAATTTATGAGATTGTGTACTAGCATAAAAGAGACATCCAAATTGACAAAGATGTAAGAACAAGTCATGAGGAGTTTCATGGATGAGAAATGGCGCGTGGATATTGTATTGATTAGATACATGGCATGAGAAAAGGCACCGAAGCCAGAATTTTAGGGCTTAGCATGAAAAGATAAGGTCTTTGTCACATTTAAATGTATTGATTGTTTAGCTAAACTACCATATGGCAGCACAAGTTGATTGATGTATATTTCCTTTGGTTAGTTAAAATTGGTGCATCTTAAGTTCCAAGTCTTTATCACTCCAAAGAAGTTTAGACTACTTGATATTATATAATTATGGAGTTCATAAGTTTCTCCTTTGTGCTCCAAATAGTCTCAAAATATTAATATTGTGACAATCCAAAAATACATGTGTAGGAATCACAAGTTTTATTACCTGCACCAAAATGTTGTATTGGACTACAATTGGTACAGGGAAATTGATGAGAAAAGGTCCCACAATCTTTAGTGTCAAGACTCCTTCTCTAATGTGCAACTTGCACTCTTTTTAGAGCCTAATTTGCATACATCTAGACTAATTTTTGACGAATCTGGATCCTCTCTAGAGTCTAGTATTGGATGGGATGAAGGCACTTGTCATTTAATAATTTTTAATGGTTTAGATTTTAACTTAATTATAATTAAAGTTTTATTTTAAATGATTAAGTTAATATAGACCACACATCCCTGTAGAGAGGATCTCAACTCATTTTTGACGTTGATTAATTGATTGAGGAATTACACAGAATCTTGATAAACCATGTGATGCAATCCATGAATTTGTTTGCTGTACCTATCGTCCTCTTGGACACATGTTTAACGTAGCAAATACAAACATGAAAGATCAGGTAGAAACATACAGAGGAAATTGATTTTGTAACAAAAGTAATTCTTAAATAATTATTCATACTCCTTATTGACTCATAACAACTTTATATAATAGAAAAGTAATATAAAAATGATCAATAAAAAGTGTGGGTATACTATTTGAACTTGGAAATTAGAATAGTTTAAACTTTTAACCCTCAATATATCCAGAAATAGCGTGCTACTAGCCACTGACTTAAACAGGGTTTTGAAGATATTGAGTTAGAAGCGTTTCAAACCATTGCCTATATGCTTCTATGTGATTCCTTCTACGTGTGCAGCTTTCAACCATATCCTGAACGTGATCATGTGATACCATTATTCTTCAGGGTTTAAGTTATCAACACTCAATTAATAGATTTCAACTCATGTTATTGCACCCTCTTCCTGCAATCACTAAAACTATTTTCACTTATCATACAACTACAATGACAACCTTTTCACTTGAAAAATATAATTGATGTTAGTGCATATGTTTATTTGAAGAACCAAGTTAAGTATTTAAGAATTAAAACTAGAAAAAATGCATTGCCATTATAAGAGTTTTTTATAAAGTAATACAAATATACAACAGTGCATAAGTTTATAGATGTCACATTCTTAAAATAATATATATCATTGGCAAATTGAAGATAAGTCCCTGCTGTGGTTCATAATTGGTAGATGGAATTTCTAACTCAGCTTCAATGGGCATGCCACAATTAGTATTAGGTACGAATCATAGAGAATCATAAGATGGAAGGTCAATGAAGCTTTGGTTTGGTGGAACAATTGAATCGGAGAAGGGAAGGCATAGGATCATGGATTTCATTAAGTAAAGAATAATTCTTTATGCTAACAACTTTACTCATACCTTATACGTCACTATATAAATAAGATACTCTACCCGAATATCATGAGAGATCACTGAATAGAACAAACCATTCCCCGAAAAAGTGCACTGAATTCTTCATGAGTACTTGTATGTTTAATAAGTATACTTCAATAAACATGGTTCTCAAAATTAAACAAGAAGCTTATAACTGCTTATTTTAAATTAAAAATCTGGACTTAATAATTTGGGGAATGGAATGAAGTTCTCTTATTCAAATAGATAGGGTGAATAACAAAACATAAGGTTGCTTCTCATTCATTGACGATAAATATAAGGAAAAATACAAAAGCAAGAAATATTCTTTATGGAAAATGAAAGATCTTCGTCATCATCTTAGAAATCCTTGAACAACTTGCGAACCTGTTCCAGAGTCACAAACAGGACAACAGTGAAGGGTCCCTGCCTCGAAATCGTAGGAATAAATCCCTTGTAAAGGGCCATAGGACCTTCAGCACGCACCGTCTTCAAAGCACAATCCACAGCACCAGAATACGGTGGCTCCGCCCCAGGCTCCACCCTCATGTTCATAACCCTAGTCTTGATCACATCCACCGGGTTGGTCGCCACCGCCGCCACGAACCCCGCCGCAAAACTTGCTGTAACGTGGGTCCCAAGCCCATCACGCATCAACCCCTTCTCCAATATCATCTCCTTAAACTGGTCA